CTTTTTTTCCTTCTAAGCTGATAATCAAAAACAGAATCTGATATGAATTTCAGAATGTTACAAGTCAATGTACCCAACAATAATCACACAGTTGTAGAACTAAATTACAAACATTTTTAAAGAAATTACCATACCTAATTTTCCTTTCAAGTTCCTCCACATCATCTTCATCATTATTGTCGTCATCATCATCTAAACCTTTGGAAATCCTTTTGGGTTCCTTAGAAATGAGTATGCTGCCACGCTTAAATTGACAACAAAATAGGAATTGAGATACATAAATACATTTGATACATACACTCATAAAGCAAGGCCACAGCCAAGAAAAGTCAATCTGAAAAATCAAAATGTTAGTGATAAATAGATTTCCATTCAATTGAAACTGTAATATTATTTTATTGCCACATTAGTTACATTTAACTTTTATATCATTTTGCATCCCATAAATTGTTGTACTTTACTTAAGATCTCCAGCAAGATGTTTTTAAACTGATCAGTATTTACTCCAGAAGTGAATCCACAGCATAAATGCACCTTCTTTTTGGTGGATTTCAAAACTCTTTGGACACATTTCAATTAATAGTCTAAGGATCTCATCAATAGAGCATCTAAAGGTTAAAATACCTTTGTATTATTTTTCCACATCCTTCTGTTAAATTCTGAACCACCCTTCAGCGGGTGGCTACCTCTCATTCCCTGAAATTTAAAGAAATTTTAGTTGATGAAAATAGAAAGATTTCCCAACCATCACCTGGAATGAATGGGTGAAAGTGGAATGATTTATTTAATTCATTTTTTTTAAAAATCTTTGAAAGGGCAAGACATTTATAAGAGTATTCCCTTGAACAAAGTGCCTCTCATAACCTGCATATATTAATTAACAGGTACCAGCAAATAATAAAGGGTGACCTGTTTAAGAGCCCTACTTGCTACTTTAAGCATGTTATAGAATGAAACATTTCTCGTCTGAGCAGGAAACACTTTGACTCATATTTTCAAAGATAAAAGTAACAAGTAATAATTAGGTATTAACCTGGTGTGCCCTCCTAAATCTAATTAAGCAAAAACAATAAGTCAATTTTGCCAAACAATCAGGTTAGTTTCTAAATTTAGTTTTACTTTCAAAAGCAATCATGTCCTATGCTAATCCTTTTTCAGTTTGTTCACTAAAGGAATGTCCCAATTCCAAAAAAAAAAAGTGCATTCGTATTGATGGATAAAGTAAGAGAGAAAGATTGTCCCAATTTACAAAAATAAAATTGAGACAGAATTGTGAATGCAGTCAAATAATCATTGTAATAATAATTAATCAAATCTATTATGTAATATAACATAATAACTCCCATCTTACTAAGTGACTGATATACTTTCCAAAATGATCCTGCAACTAAATTTAAACACCACTTCCATGATCCTGACTTACTAATTTAATAAAATTATTCAATAATAAACTGAAAGATGTACTCTACCTCTTTTTGTCTCCGTAGCAAAAGAAGAGATTTCTTGAACCTTTCAATCAAATCTACTGTATTCAGGATCTACACAGATGGATACAAGAAGATCATTTCCATCGAAAATAAATGTCCTACATTGATATCGCGTGAGGAAACTATAACTTCTTTATCATTCTTAGGATTGAAAAGGTTAAAAGATCAAGTCATTTACGCAGTTCAGCATTATACCTCTAGTTTCTCTAAGTAAGAGGCTTTTACAATGGATGCCAACGTGTCAGGAAGACTCCCATCTGGTATTCCACTCAACATGTCCTATAGAACAAAAATAAGTGTTATTGTTCAAGGATGAGGTCAACACAACTTGATACATGTATTTCCCAAGTTTACCATGATCCGTAAAAATATGTAAAAAAAGAACATGGCCCAGATTATGCCATCTAGAAAAAAACACGTTTGGTCAATAAAGGATTTATCAAATGACAAAAAGATTAAACTTGAGAATCCCCATATAAATTCACAAACCCGACTCAGTTCCTTTGTTTTATGGTCTTCAAGATATGGTTTGTGATTCTAAATGTAGTTGTAAAACTGATTAAAAAATATTTTTCGTATGGCAGACAAATAGTCTGCTATAAGTAACCACTTAACTCTTTGACTCCAGGAAGTGATTTATATCTAACTTCTCCCAATAATATCCATACATTATCTAGCAAACAGGTAATGAGAATACTCAAACTCATCCAGTAGAAGTTGTTAAATCAATCTTACACCAAGTTCTCATAACTAATTAACAAGGAAATATGTAGCAGATAGAGAGGAGAATAAAGAATCAGATGCTGGGAGTTAAAGGGTTCACATAAGATAATTGTTTTTTTCAGTTTGCAAAATTAAATCAGGTAATCTCTGGATGGCAAGATTGCAATCTTGCCTAGAGGGTTGCCAATTGGGCTCCCTTTTTACAGAGCTCACCAGGCATACATTGTATAACATTGGGTATTGAAACAAGACACCAAGCATCATATTTCCATTTAATAAACAAGGAGCTTCATGACTTTTGAATTATTACCTTTAGCCTGGAAACAAATGGTACTCTCCCATCCAACATGTCCACCAACTCATTTGAGCACAGTCGAAACTCTTCAGCTAGCATTGTTAAATCAGCATTTTTCCTTATTTCTGCCTCTGCAATCCGAATACATCAGAATACTTTATTTTTACAGCTGCAGATTATTCAATCAGTGAATAATTACACAGCAAATATTTTTTAGACCGATAAAATACTTTTCACCAATACCAAATTTTGAAATCATCTGTGATGCGTAACTCAACAGACACACATTTAGAGAAAGATGTTTTTTGTCTTGTCATGAGCGTGGGACAAAGGAAAAAATTACAAGTCCCAGTGAGGAATTGAACCACAGACCTCTGTGGCTCTATCACTGAGTCCCAGAGACTTTACCATGAGCGAGGTCTATTATGAGGTTCATATAACACATGTCCTGTATATCGCTAGGATCAGCAATGTTAATAGCATCATGTTTGTAAATAGTTTTCTATTTAAAGACACACATTTGTTACAGTGATACTGTTTTGAGAAGTTTAATGCTGATAATGTTTACCATATAACTACCTTGTTCGGAGGGCCTGTCCAACTGTGTCACCTCTGCTATCAAATAAGGTTCCTCCATGACTATTTTATCAATTCTAAATCTGCACAATCCAGTAACTAGCAGGGTGTACAGGGGCTTTGGCCAGTTGGTACCTGTTACCTGAACTACTACAGATGCTGTTCCAAAGGCATGTAACAATGATTCTTCATCCTGTAGATTGTAAATAGTTCAATTGTGAGGGGATTTGAAGATGCAAAAACTGCCAAAACATTTGTAAAAAATATGAAACTGGTTTACTTTGCTTCTAAAATCAATCAAACAATTTAGCTCAATTGAAGAATGGATCAATAAATTCTACCTACACAGAAAAAAAATGATTGAATCCAATAGTAGTTGTCATTTTTAAAATGATTCATCTATTTCATTACACTACATGTATATTCGACCATAACACAGATGTTGCTCAAGTTTGTTATTTTTAATATCAAGGGTCACATTGCATTATCTTACTTGAAACTGGAACTAAAGTTATTGTTAGTAGTTAGGTCTGCTTCTGATATAAATTTATTTTTTGTTTTCTGTTTGAGGGAAGATTGAACTGGTTTACCCAAAAAAATCACTTCTACTCTATTGGAAGTATTATTTATCACACGAAAAACAAACTGCAAACACACAGTCATTCTGCTAATGACGAACTTCCGGTCCAATGAGATTGTACGTGCAGCTCGATGTCACGACAACACGTTCGCTAGGACACTACATAAAATCGAATATTAGCGGGACAGAAATTAAAATAGAAATAAAATAATTTTATGCAACTTACCTCTTTCTCTGATCGTCGTGGTACCACACCTATGATCACACTGCTTAGGGTGTCTTTTCGAAGAAGTCTTGTATCGATCATACGAAGGCTGTGACGATCAAAAAGATCAAAACACATAACATAGTTGAGCTTATGCAATGTAAAAGTTATGCAGTGCAGCGGAAAAGAACGCGCGAAAAGTTGAGGCTTTTTTCTTACCTGGCATTGTCTCGTACAGCAATCCTCATGGACGAGCCCGGTAAAAGGACTTTGTCTTTGAGGATGAGCAATGGAAGGCGTTTCGGGAGATCTCGATTTGGAACCACCATTGCTGCGATGCTGCAGTTTAGTGAATGAAGAAGGTGAGCTGGTAACTAGGGTTATCCTACCCAGTACCCAGATTCCTAGACACTGCTCTGTCCTTGTGATACTAGAAGTTATGTTACATGAACCATGAGAACGCTCAATCAAAGATGGCGGCCTTAATTCGAAATCGAATTGCAGGTACGAATTCTCCGAAATTATATGTATGGTCCTTCACTGATTTCGATCTTACGTTTATGCGGAAGTTTTTCTGTCCCGTCTGATTTTGCTTCCAGTGTTGACAAGACCATCAGCGATGTCTATGAATTGCATTAGACATTGGAGTACTTTTCCAACACTTCATGCAGGGCAAAAAATGAGATTGAGGTACGTACGTCAGATACATGATAAAATACCTCTTGAAATTTCAGAATCTCTTTTACAATTTTCCTTGTTAGCTTCTTTACATGTGTTTGTGAATGCGATTAGTGAGTGTGGTGCTATGTCGGGTTAATAGTGGTCCCTTTAGCTGATAATTTTACCTATTGTAATCAACTGTTTCTGGATAATGAAGCGATGTTAGCTGCTAGGAATAGTTGCAGTTTTACTATTTTTCGCAAATTTTAATCCCTAGCCGAGGTCAAGCACGCGATGGAATAGCTTATGGACCTCTCACTGACCTACCAGACTGGAGTTTTGCAGGTAGACTTCTAAACAAAATTGGAGTAAATCATGTTTGCCTTGTATCACGAATTATTCAGTATGACTGGCTATGCTACTTGCTATCTATTTGACAATTAGATTCCATGCTGCTGTGTATCTGTTCATTAATGGATTACAGATGACTTTAAAATGTGGTAATAAAGAAGTGGTATTCAAAGCACAGTCTATTATTGTATAGACCCATGGGATATGGAATCTCCGTTTTTTATCTGATCAAAAAAAGCAAATTTTTGTTAATGGTGATGCAATTTATGTATCCGTCCTCTGTAGATGATAAGTAAGAACCAATTAAAATTTCATTGTTTATTTAGTACTTCAACTTATTATATAATCCATGATAGATGTAAATGATGTGAGAAGCCTGACAGTATCTAGTTGTAATCATAGTAATATGCATGAAAACATTACACATGTCTGATTGCCTGAAAACAAGCACATTTTCCATTAACAAAAATGCAAAGTTGTTACATGAGTGCAAATTACAAATAGCATGCTCCATGTCAAAATTTTGTCTGTCTTGACCTTCTATGATACATTTTTTCATGTAAACTAATGATAGGTTTTAACGCGATTTCCTGTGCAATTTGGTGTTAATAAGCACTCATATATCTTTCAAAGATTACAAATTGCACTTGCCCTATTCATGCTTATTCACTTTTTTCCTTATTGTGTAATAGTTAATCTGGGTTTGCGCTCATAGAGTATTACGCAAGAGAAATCCGGCTTTTATAATCTAATTGTTATTTAGCTGTGTGTTGTCTATCAGCACACACAAGGCTTTTGACTGGATATATATAAAATGAGAGCTTACCACTGATTTATAATTTTGAATCAAATGATAGTTAAGATAATTACCTGCAGGAAGAATTAGATAATGTCTGTGGTGTGACCTTCAAGAATGTTCTAGAAGTAGCTGTGTCATGCTGAGCCATCCCTGAATCAATGTATAAATAGAATCTATTGTGATGTAACGGAACATTGTGGATCCTCAACCATACCTATATAAGCCGAGCTTGTAACTAGATGTAGAGAGTAGTTTAGTTGCTGGTATAGCCCGTCAGATATCAATAAAGGTGTATGCTGCAGAATACAAGATGTCCACACTTCAATGTCAACTTACCCTAACTTTGTCATGACAAATTTAAGCATCTCTAATCTAATTGTTATTTAGCTGTATCTTGTCTATTAACACACACAACACTTATTTGCCTCAGGCAAAGCAGTAAAAATTGTTGAATAATCCCCAAGAAAAAGGCACTTGGCAGGAGTTGATTATTGTGAGATATGATGCAATCCTCCACTGATCAGAGCATGCACATTTCTTTATTCACTGGAGCAATTATACTCACTGAATGTATCTAGATTGAGGGCTTACCATTGATTGATAAGTTAGTCAGCATCCAGAGATTTTTGCTTTTCTTTAAAGTTTGTGCCCTATTTTTAATGGCTTTGACTGTCAAATACATATTAATTACTTCTCATTTCAGGGACCACAGAAGTGTTTGTAAAAATTCATTCTTTGTATTGATCATTTTGCTTTTTGAATTATCAGATGGGACCCCAGCACCAGAGACAAAAAGAAGAAGAATAAGAAGGTTGAAAAGAATGGATGTGGCCGTAAGTTGTAAACAATGCTATTCAAAGAGTAGTTACTGAATGCATAACCAATAAGCGTTATACTTGATTTGCCTTTTGCCATGTTCAATGCATTGATTTTTATGGAAATTGATTAGGTTTGTTATTAAAATATGACCTGTGCATCACACATTGAGGTTAAGGGAATGAATGAAATGATAACCAACTAAAGAAGCTCTTGAATGTTAAACAAGTTTTTCCTTATCAGCATCTCAGGAAATGTACAGTATGGAAAATATGCATACTGATGTCAGGGTGTAAATAGGGACCTTAAGCAATCAGGACAGCAATGCCAAGGGAGACTTCGATTAAAAAATGAATTTCTGCCTTTAATTAGAATTTCAAAAATTGGCTCCATTTGTTTACCATCTCATACCGCACCACACCTCAACTTCAGCATAACGTATAAAAGAAGCATTGAGTTCCAAATGGAAATTAAAATAATTTGCCGTCATGATTTCAGTTCGTAGATGACGCAAATTGTGGTGATTTCAGATTGTTGTTTTGCATAGGATGGCTAAGAAATGTACAAAGTTTTATAAACGTGCAGAGTTATTGCTCTGCCAATTAGATCCATTGTTTTTCCATGTCCTCGTTGCTGTTGCTGTTGTGGTTTGTGTAAGGTCCCTATTGATTCATCAATGTAAATGTGATTGACAGCTACTTTCTGGAACAGAAGTTTATTCATTTTTGCTTTATTCCAGCATCAAATCTTAACGTATTTGAATGAGGTGGAGAGAGCAGGGGAAGCAAGAGATGAAGATGGAAATGTTCTGGATTCCACAAAACTGCCAAAGAAAGAGCAAGAGATCAGTTGATGAGAGAATTCTGGTTCACAAACATTACCAAGCTGCAATTAAAATGGAAAGAATAACCGTTTAGGAAAAACGATTCATCCTTCTGAAGGAAATGCATTCATTTCTTATTCAAGGCTAGCAGAACAAAGATTAGCAGCTAGGTTTATCCTAATTTAAGCCTAGTTCTACTTTAACCCATGAACTCCAGAGATCTGATTGTTAATTCTCCTCTTTAGCCACCTACACATTTCCTCAAAAATTAATTATGAGAATTTGGTGTTAGATCAAGATAACAACTTCTACCAGATAAGTTTGAATATTCTCATTACCTTTTTGCTGGATAATGTATGGATATTATAGGGAGAAGTTACATGTTAATCACTTCTGGGAGTTAAAGGGTCAAATATTTTTCTTTATTAATAGAATGATGACTTTACAAACAATATTTGAAGTTTTCATTACAAGGGCTGAAGACTTGACATTTACTGGTAGTAAACTTTTTGAGTGATGCATTTTTAAGTTAAAACAGTTGAGAGCTTTACACTTTTCAAGTGTTAATTTCCTTCAAGTTGTATGTAGTTTTTGTCCATATAAAATCAATCCAGGGTGCTTTGTACTTTAAAAATTAAAAGAGACATGAACTGAGATAGCTGTTGTAGGTCAACCCTATAGCGCAACGTCTATCATTTTCAGACAGAGTATTCAGAAACGCATATAAAATAATGCTAATATCACACACGGTAACATCCACGACCAATTTAAGACCTCGGGTCTGGTTTGATATCCAATTCAAGACGCTAAATAGTGAAACTGTCTATCGTGTTTAAAAGCCAAGGAAAGTAGAACCAAGCACTATTTGACAGCACATACCTATTAAGGCAAAGTTAAGGGGACCCTAACAACCCCCCTCCCTTCCACTAGCCATCATTTCACCCCAAAGGGGAAAGAGCATGACACTTACAAGGTTCCCAACGGGAAAAAATATTAAAACCCGAGTCCTTTTTTTTTCCCCTGCTGTGCTGTTCTCCCTTATGATTACGCCGTGCGACCACCTCTCAATTGATGTGGATAAGAGTGACGTGACACGTTCCTCTCTCTTTCAGAGTCTCGGCTTAAATTCGGGGAAGTCCTTAGATGATCTTAGTCAACTGTTTATCTTTAGAATGCGACCACATGGACTCATCAAACTTATAGACTATTTTTACGTCTGTGTTGCAGCATGGAGGGAATCTGGGATGATGATGATGAATTGATCAGAATCAAAGGAAAGTTTGGGCGTTTCCAGAAAACCAATCATAACAACGAGTAGAACAAAGAACGAAAGGCAAATTTTGACTCGTATGGGATGGAAGAGGTTTTAATCTCTTTGGAGGGTTTTCGTCTTCCAATTTTTTTTTAGCAGAGTTATTTGTTTAAGTGGATTAAAACGTATGCAAGTGTATTTTTGATCTTTCTTAATCCATGCTCTTGGAGTGGCGTTGATCTGATCCCAAATCTGCTCTCTCGTGATTTGGCTGCTTTTGTTGCTTCACGGAATTGTGACTTCCTTTTCCTGGATTTTGTCGCCTTCCTGTGGAGTAAAGTAGTAGTGAATAGCTGAAAAGAAACAACAAAGCTTCTCAGCAGTATCGTGATCCGGCAAATTGCTTCTGAATCCCTTGCGGTGATACTTCCCAGCTGACCGCAAATAAGACAACAAGCCGCTTAATTTTTTGGCTTGACAAGTAGTTCTCACGCCTATTGAATCAAATGTTTTTAAAGATAATTATCGTCAGGAAGTATGAAAAGTCGACGCAAACACGAACTGAGAGGGAGCGGAGTCTTGAATATGTCAACATGCACAAGCTTTGCCTTGTGTCAAACTCAAATTTAATTGCGGTGTGGTGGTGTTTCCTCCCTTTAGCTGTCAGTATCAACTATGATTGTATCAGTAACTGATACAACCATAGCGGTCTAATCATTTGCCCTGGGCAAAATATACGTTTTTCGGTTTTTTGATTCACACGCTTTTGGCTTGTGAGCCAAACCGCGCCTAAAAGACGCCCACACCTGGAGGCTATAGAAAGACAGACTTTATCTCAACTTTTAGCACGAGAGGAAATTAAAGCAAAAGTCTGATGTATTTTCATTCTAGCATGTATTATACCTCTGCGCAAATTTAAACTATTTTCTATACTCTTATGTGATTTTCTGGCAGTAGAGCTAACGAGGAAATCGTTTTCTTAACAATTTGTTTTCTGGTTCTCTCTATACGGCCTAAACACGAAATCACACTGTAAGATGACTTGAACTGCAGCCTTAAAATAATGCCTCTGAGAATAGGTGCAAGGCTGAAGGCAGATTTAGTTGACAGGAAGATCCTCCTCCACACCCCTCAGGAGCACCGTACAACGAGTCAAGGAGACTACGACTTAGGAGAATGGAACCTGGAAATACATATCTCTTGACGAGGAATTGCTTCCTAAATTTACGATTTCGCGCTCCAATGCATTGCCACAAAGCCACACAGGGCCATTACTAGGGCGTCACTTGGCTCGTGAGGGTGAACTGACTCGTTCGTCTAATTCACTCTAAGAGTATTGGGAGTTTCTCCTCGTACAGTACTCTGCTTTACTACCCCTATTTGCCACTTTTGACCCCAATCACTCAGAGTTGATAAATTATCACTGAATCAGGATAACTTTTAACTTCAATCATCTTTATTTTTGATGTTATCGGACTTTTTGAGGCAGATAGACATCGTAAAGCTGGTTCTCGTATTTGAATAAATCCTTAGACTAAGAGGATTTCTCTGAGTCTCGACGGTTATAGATTTGACTGTCATACGAAATCATCAAAATCCTGATTTGTCCAGTATAATTAGGCAGCGTTTACATTCTTCACTTTAACAGTCCTAGGTGGTCCATAGTAAAGTCTGTTATGTTCAACACTTAGATAAAAAAAATCTCTTATTTCCTCAGGCCCTTCCGAAATACGAAAACGCACGCTTTGTTTCACTGCTTAGTAAAAGACATTAGAGTCTGCTATGACTACTTACTTATTGCGGCTTTCTTGCGCCTATACTTACAGGAAAACGAAGGGTGCGAAACCAAACTACACTTTGACTTCGCGTAGCTAAGATCAGTCAGCTGAATCGCCTGTTAGCATTCCAAGCCCTGAATTACATGCATGATATCAAATTTTCTATAATTTCTACGGTATGCGGCCGAATCTTGAATATTAAAGATTTTGAGTTTCTCACAACGATATCATAATGTCAAGTAAACATGAACCGCCAAATCTTCAAATTTTGACATTGTATCCTTTTATAAGCAAAATCACTTGACATAAAATCTCAAACTTCTTAACTTCAAATTTTACTCACGGTAAGTCACACGCAGAGCCATTACGATAGACTGAGAAGCCGAAGGTTCGATATGTTTCAAGCTTGCAGTTTACCGGTTTATACACCCTGCATGCAGGTAACAAATGGGTAGAAACATGTTGACCACAACTTGGACATCTCGTTTAATCACAGCTGCTTAGTCATTCACTAGAGATATTGTTATATTCTGAACAACATCTCCAAATCTCCACTTTGGAAAAATAGCCAAATCTCGATTACAGACCACACACGAGAAGAGCGTCCTAAAATAGCATCGTGTCGACTGATTTTAAATTCTCAGTCAATGTGAACCTAACATAACTTGATGGCTGACAGCCAAAACCCAGCACAACTCCCTTCATTAATTTATCACCTGACTCCGTCTGTTGACAGCAAAAATTTCCTCATTTGGCGGTTTTCGTGTACAGGTTATGTAATATCAGATGATCTTGTTGCCACTTCTATTAGACGGAAGTTGCTAGCACATATACATCCTTTGCTTCGGCACGTACAGAATCAGGACAACGTCGTCCCTCCATCCCATGAACAAAGCAAGATCTGTGTTGAAAGCGGCAGTAAGTTGCAAGTAAGTCTCAAGTTTTTGTATTACCTCGTTAAATGTCATTTTAAAATATAGCAAGACGATTCGTGTTTAACGAAAATCGGAATAGCTTTCCCGTGACTTTTCCCGTCACTTTTGGATGAGATCAATCATTCGTTGGGCTTATTACGGGTTTCCTTTAATCATTCCTTTCCAGTGCGATACCTAGACCTCCCACTCACATGGCCGTATGTCGGTTTTATACTCTAGATGTCTCCTATCTTTCAAGATTATCTTTCTTTTCCAAAGCCGTGAGCTCTGCGTTTCGCGGTATTTTCGGGTACCTGTGGGAGTTTCAACAATCATTTATGATTCGTACGAATATCTGAGACCCTGTTCAGTTTTCCGGAAGTTTCACTTGAAGTTAAAAAGCGTCTCTGGGACGCACCCATAGGAAAGGTCAAGGGAATGTTATTTCCGTGTCATAGGAACGATCGCTTAAGAAGTGATGGTATGCAAAAACGTGCAAAGATAAATTCGTCGGCTGCATTTTGAAAACGAGCAAAGCTTTAGGCTTTAGCCAGCAACATTCGTCCTGTAAGGTAAGGTTTTTTGACTATTACTCTTTTCCAAAACTGCAGTACATTACGGCAATTTTTGCGGATTGTTCTCATTTTTGAAAAATAAGTTGACGCGGAAAAGATATTCGGCGAAATACTTCGCCGCTCAGTAAAGTTTGATAATTTCATACCAGTGAAAGTATTTGCATGTAAATTCAGTTACAGTTTGTCTTGTTAGCATTCGCGATCGGACTTACTCGAATTTTAAGCATCTGGCCCCGGTTATTCGAAGCTCGGATAACGCTATTCATTGGATAAATCTCTATCCGGTGAATAGCGCAGTACGTGTTGTACTGCACTTACCACTTATCCGCTGGATATCGATTTATCCGTTAGATAGAGTTATCCACCCTTTATACAACTGGGCCAGGGAATTATCTTCCACACAGCTTCTCTCTTGATCCAACGCTACAATTAGAAACTTGAAAATATCGTTCCTTCCTTGACCATCTTTTGCTGCTTGACTGTAAAATCGTAAGGAATTAGCATTTGCAGTTGTGACGGACTACGAAAAGTTGTTCCATTAAGATAAGAAAAACCTCTAATTCGCAAAACAGTAATCCCCGCGGACAAAACAGCTAAATAAAGTAACATAAATTGAATTTCCTTCTCATTACCACAAGAAAAACAAACAGCAACACTTGAACTGTACAAACTCCCACACAAACTGTGTTTGGAAAGTAACTTGACGAAAATAAAATGGGGGAAATGTGATGCCTTTTGTTCACATGCACGTACCTAACTACTTTAGCTCATTTGTATGATAGCATAACTTGAGATTCAGAACATCATAACTTTTTTTTCTTCCAAGCAAGCAGTCAGTGGGTCTGTTTTGTTCAATTCACTGACAAAACTAACTGGTTTATCCAATATCCTCAAATTTGCCAGTTGTTCCAAATATAGTAATAACTTTTAATGTGTGGAAAAAGCAATTTGATGATTGAAAGTGTCTCTGCTGACCTAATTGAAATACTTTAGTTGATGTTTTCAAGTCTGCTGAATTGAGCTGAAAATGTGTTTTGCTGGTAATCTTGTTTAGTCTATGGATTTTTTAATGTAGTCCTGTGGAGAGAACATTTATCAGACAATGTTTAATTTGTTCAACAACTTAACGCCAGCCATCGCATGCAGTACACGGTCGAAAGCGATATTTGCAATGGACAAATTGTCCATACACGATAAAACAAGACTTGGAACCTCTTTCGGAAACATTTCATTCATCAGTCAAATTTCCGGAACAAACTCCATCAGATAATATTGGTTGCTCACGATTCAAGAAATATTGCCGATGGATAATTCAACCGGAAACTGGTAGAATATAATTGAAGGTAAAGTATTTGAAACTTGACAAAAGATTTTAAGACATTTTGCGCCTCAATTCACATTGTTTTGATGATAAACTCTACAGGTTCATTGCGTTTATGCAGGTTTTCAATACCTTTCCTTAGTCTTTATGAATTGAGGAAGAGAGTTTTTTTTGTATCAAACAATATCAGAGCTGCGTGTTTGAAAAAGATATACCGTTCTTGCAGAAACAGGAGGATTGCTTGCGTAGTTTCTAGCAAGTTCTCTATTTTTCTTTACCATACTTGCACTAGAGAAACGACCACGATCTAGAATTTTTCGGTTCACTGACCAAGCAGCCAGTTACATCATACAGCGACCTCAAAAGTCACCAAAGTTAATGTAACGTTGCATTGCTCTCTTAATCTCATCATAGAGTATCGAGAAATATTGACTGGAAAATTCTTCCTGCCCGCCTTTTACCTTTTAGTAGTATGTTCTGCGGTCAAAGCTAGCAATTAGCATAATTTGATTGCGTTTGAACAATACAAACTTTTTGAGTATTTTTGACGCAAATTAACGGGTTTAAATTAGGAGTGCCATGAGGTAAAAAGACCGGCTTATGCTTTTGGTGTCAAATCTAACTGTTCTTCTACACACCGGTAAGTAAGAACTTCAATAATTTTTTTCAAAGTTTTGGCAGAATGTTTAAGTCAAACGCACCACGTGAGGTTACAGTTGAATACAGCATAACAGGGAAAATGTCTTTGTGAATCTGTTACTTGTTACACGCAACTCCAGATAAACTTTCTGCATGTTGTGAGACGGGCAGTGATATAGCGATGACCCCCCTAAGTATGTACAAATGTACGGTTGCATGAGATTTTATCCTTATAAGTAAACGCGACAATTTAAGCAGAGAGGAATTCAAAAGATTCTGAACCGATTATAATTTCGTCGAAGGAACAACAAAGAAAACTTTTTAACAGTAGGTTTTCTTTGATGTTGCGGCATCTCAAAGAGAAACGTCTACGTCGACTAATCATCTTTTCTCGGTGAACCAACAGACCGAGCTGCAAAAATCTTGCAGACACGATTAACTAATTGATGTTCGGTTAATTCCCTATGACATCTTTGCAAGGAACTGATCCACTACTATTTTTACAAACGTTGAACAAGAGACTGCTAACAAGCGTGTGCGATAGGCATAAATCCATTGAAGGAAATTGACACAACGGCTGAACGCAAGTGAATTGTGAGGGAACAAAGGTTGTAGTGAAAACATGGAAATATGACGCACCTTGCTTTTATTGTTTCAAATAAACATTCAGTTCGGATTTAGAAATGGTAGCATTTCGCAAGCACAATCAATTCACGTGCTGTTTCGGCGCAATAAATTCTATGCAATCCCTGTTATGCTCTGATTACCAAATCGCTTTGTTGCGTCATGCAAAGTTCTTCCTTGATAAAGTTTCACCCACAAAATGCTAAAAATGTCAGTTACTAGACGAAATTAAAGCTAAATTCAATTTACTACAATTCTTTTTTCGTCTTGTGGCGGCTCGTCTATGGGAGTTAATGTGTCGCAGCGTAAAAAAAATTAGATCAAACACGCGATTTTGTTTTTTAGTTGCAATTTTTTGCGTCATCGCAGCAATAGCAGAATAAACAAGTTCTTTTTCTTTCTACACCGGAAACAGAGAACTGATTGCAAACGACGTTTAAATTTGTTCTTTTAAAAAAAACATGAGTGAGCCCCTTGTAGCTGAAATGACCTATCCCAAAAATTGTGTTCATTACAAGTCGATTCCCTGCTGTGTGATAGCATGGTTTGGTTTATTTTGATTACTTTTCACCTACGTTTAATGCGAGGGCCGTCTTATCACGCAGAGAAACGGAAAACAAAGTTCGAGCTTCGCTTTGTGGTGTTCTTCAGTTAGTCAAGTCGGTAAGTAACACATTGAGTTTCCAAGTATTTTACATGCGAATTTCTCATTCAAATTTAGTTTGTTCGTCAGCAATAACCGTGTTTCAGTCATCTGATTAGCAATTGTCGCGCGGTAAAACGAGTCCATCAGCAAAAGCAGAACGTGATTAATAGTACTTGCTGGGAGTTATTGTTTAAAGTGGCTTTTATTGCTCTAATGATCAACTGAGATTCAACCGTTACTAACATAATGTTTATCAACTTCTAAGAACCCTGTCAGAAATTCTAAAATCTTGTCTTTATACAGTGTTAGAGACGGACATTGAAACAACGTGGGGGGAATGTTAGTTGATACGGGAAACAAATTGTAAAAAGTCTAAACAATTTTGAACTCAAACTGTTAAAATGACCTTTCTGTGTTGTTGTTCCTTTCCTGGGACTTGTTTCTTTGCCATCCTCCAGTTCGTTTTAGATTTTTCTTTTACGACTGAGCGGTGATGTAAATCTTCAAAGCGGAAAAATGACAGATGATATCAGGAAAGCAACCAAACATTACATTCAAAGTACCTTTCATGGCACTTCGCATGAAGTTCACGTTAAAAGATTTCGTGCGTCAAGATGTTTTAATTTCAGGGCTTTTTAGGTTGCTGAAACTTGTTTTTAGTTGAAATGGAAACTTAAATAATCAACTATTGTAGGTTTGCCAAAGTCGATGAACATTTAGGAGGAAAGGATGAGCGAAATTGGAAAGGAGATAGCCAATATTGACGGAAAATATGAAAATGGCGTTGATTGCAAAATTGAAAAAAACAAAAACGAAGAAAGCCAAAAGATAAAACTAGACCGTGACGTAACGGCTACAAATTCTAGACCTATCTTAGGTTGTGAGCTAAACTTGTTACATAACTGAATGAAAATTTTGAGTGGGGGCTGGCTTCTCACACGTAATCCTACTTTTATTAAGCCGTCCGTCCCACACCAACGCAAGTTAGCCTAATTATCAGATAATCTGTCCTGAATGCGGATAACTCAAGGTATTGAACCACAAGCTGGTAGCTTTAGGTTGAGGTCATGAAGCTTCTTAAGGCCAGAATTTGACATTGATTTATCTTTATGTACTGCTATCTATTTGTTTATTTTTCGGGTCAAAATTAACACAATTAGATAGTGAAGTTCTGAGGGTCAGGATTGAAGGATGAAATAAAAATCTGGATGAAATTGGAAATTGGCTGACGTTCTTCATCGTGGAATCAAGAACTAGTAAAGACCAATGTTTTTGCTTTAATTTCATGCAAAAATGTAAACGAAAAACAAACAAACAATTGGCAGAAACAAACAGAAAGTATAAGATTTGTTGAGCGCTTTATTTTCTTCGTTATGAGTTTTGGTTCGAGTGTTCCTCCAACTATTCCGAGATGAAATGTATATCAGAACCTCCTCCTGAGGTGATGGTTTTTACGACCAACGGTTAAAATTTTTGCCATTTTACGGCTAACAGTTAATTCCTTTCTGTTATTTTAAAATATTAATTTTTACAGTTTACATTTTTAACGACTAGCGGCCAAGAGTTGTCAATTTTACGCCTCACGGCTATTTTTTCCTCTTTTTATGCCATTTTACGGCTAACGGTTAATCTTATTGTTACCCCTCTACTGAAATCTCTCGATTAATCGTGTTCAAAATGGTATGCCAAAAAAAAAAGTTTGAGTTAAATCTTGGAAGAATGTGCTAGCTTATCATTTGTATGACATTAACCAAGTTGTACTTCAATACATTCTTCCCCCCCCCCCACCCCTCCCTCCAGCCCTGGGCTCCTCAGCCCTGAGGGGTAGAAGGAAAAGCTGACCATGAACAATTTGATACCTTGCAATAACGATGGCGAGACAAAAGGGGTTTGTTTGTTATTCCCTGAATATCTTAGAAGTGCTCTCGTTTTAGTCTTAAATGGACTTTTGATGCGAATGCCCTCACACGTTGCAAGTGGCAGCGTTCCATAAATACGGTTCGATTGTATTTTTAGGGGATATTTTTTAAGAAGTGTCAAATAGTTTGTCTATTTCAGTAATTGTTAACAAAACAGGAAATGTTGACACTTTCAAACGTGTCTATAGACTATTGAATTCCCAAGAATGCATTCTTTGATGTCATTTCTTTTCCACATTCGCGTGATACGAACGACATTGTAAGCACTCCTTCAATCCTGAGAAAGAAATAACTCTCCTTATAAATCTCCTTTTACCTCCAAATTTTGTGGATTGGTGCTTCAAGCGACGAGTCTGAATGTAAGTAAAAGTAATCCACTAAAGAAAGCAAACGATGAAAAAAAAAACGGATTGCAAAGACAAAACAGAAATATTTTGACGAAATGTACGAGACGCGATATGCTCCTCTCTCTGAAGTAGATAAAATTCATACCGGTGAACGCACAATAATCTGCCACCATCACAAATGAAGCATCGCAGAAAACTAACTGTCGTCCTCTGTTTCATGGCAAGCTTCGATGGCAAATACTGACTTTTTAACCCCAGTTGGCCACACTAGAGTATGTTTTCGTTTTGGAAAGTAATCGGAGGGGAGATTCTTACACTTCAGTTCAACTATGTGAACATGAATGATTTACGCACGCGGGCTGAAATCACCTCAAACAGAAATCAACCCACATTAGGTTTTGTTTTTAAGGCCGAGAAATTGCAATTACATTAGGATTTCAAAGCCGGAGAACTGAATATACGATATGATAAAACAAAGTCTATTGGAAGCGTTGTAGTTACAATAGCATCAGTCAGGCAAGTTATTTGTCATCAGTACCAGTCCACTGATATCAAATAGTGGATACTTCACGCAAATGTTCTTGTTGTGTTAATAAATTAGAAAAGTGGTCTACTTATGTCACAGCTATTACGATTTTTGACTCCTGTTGCTTTCATTATGAGTACCAAATTATCTCAGAATGAAGACAGAATCTTAACGGCAAATCAAATAAGATTGTAGTTGCCTTGGGTTGAAGAAAAAAAAATTGTTATGGAAGTTATAGATGTATTTATAAATGCCCACAACCAGGAGTCCGCAACAAATATCTCATTCATGAACGTAAAGCGCGCACGTCACCACAATCGAAAAAGAAAAAAAATTTGAACAAAATTTCTCTCGTACTTTCTTATGCAGCTGTATGGGAAAAGGAAGTAGACCACTTCAATAATTCATTTTTAGTTCCTTAGATGAATAATTGAGATAAGTCAGTTTATTAAAAACTTTTTCTGATATATCGAGATATCGAGATTCTATCTGTACGACTTCTATTTTTGGTGCAAATTGATAAGCTAACGTTAATTACAGGAAGTTGGCTAGCGTAAACTAGGCTGAACGGAGGATATAAAGCAACAACAAATAATTTCTATTTCTCTGATTAAAAACAAAAGAAAAGGAAATCCCCTTACAAGGAGATTATCCAACATTGTTCGGATAATTCCATGGATCATCGTTTCAAGTGTAGAAAATTCAATATGTGATACTCAGAAATTTCACAGCGGTAGACATTTCAGCTTTCCCCAGCTGTCGCGTTCTGGGTTGGTTGTTTTAAATATTCATAAAAGACCGTTCTCGTTTTGTGGTTTTACGTGGGTATAAAATTTACGTGGTACTAAAATTTATTTAATCGGTTTTATTTCATTGGCAGATTTCTCTAGTATCAAGCTTTGAATACAACGTTCTTCACCTCTCACCAAATCAGTCGAAGCGCGGGTAAAATGACTTTGGTAAAATATTTCGCTGTCGCGAGTTTGCTGTGTTCAGCTCTACAATTTCCTGATCTTGTTTTCTCGTCTCGACAAAGGATTAAGCGTGTGCCATTCACTTCTTCTCCAAAAGGAGGTGATAATGTGTCGAACAAACAAGTGCACAAAATACCAGAGGACGTGATGGACGACGATTTTCCACCTCTTAGCTTTTACATCCAAGACGTGAACATCACCTCTTTGCAGAGAACAAACCAAACCAGCTCACTTGGGTGGAACTATACTAATTCTAATGAGCTGGATTTCGACGGATTAACTGTATCAGCCAATGACTCCATTAAGGACAGCTTACCAAGGCTCAACTATGAAACCTTTTGGTCCAATGGAAGTTTAACGCTCACCTTAGTGGAGCTTAAAAAGGTCGAGGGGATAGGAAACGCAACTCACGACGTATGGAGCAAGATGGCAGACTTTGAGCTAGAAGTACCCGATGTGGTTCCCGGTGACTTTGACGTTGTCAACGATCCTCCTAACATGGGGCGTCATCGGCGAAAAAGAGCTGTATTTGGTCCAGATGATCGAATTAAAGTCCGCTACGTCGATTCGAGACGGCTTCCATACTCTGCGGTGGTGAGGATATCTACTGGCTGCACAGGCACCCTTATCTCAGAATACCATGTGCTGACAGCGGCACATTGCGTTCACGATGGCATGAATTACCTCGTCGATGTAAAGCACTTGAAGGTGCTCGTCTTGAGGCATCAAGGAAAGGTCATCAAAATTGGAGTCGACTTCGTCAAAGTTCCGCGAGGATGGACTCTCTCTCGCGATTACCGTTACGATTATTCCGTCATAAGACTCAAACGGGCGCACAACAATGAATTCCTAGGCATGTATGAAATTCCTGCCGCCCTGGACATTCGAATAAAAATCCAGTTCGCTTCTTTTCCCTTCGACAAAGAACAAAATACTCTGTGGTACTCGAACTGTGCAGCTCATTGTCGTAATCATGCCATCATCAATCGCTGCGATTCTAACGCCGGAAGCTCTGGTGCAGGAATATACGCCCTGATGAGGAAAGGTAAAGTAGTAGAACGGTTCGTGTTCGGAGTATTTACTGGTTTGGGAAGCCGCGTACGGTTTCGTGGAAAAATGCGTCTCATGAACATAGGCACGAAGATTACACCTCTAAAGCTAGCACAAATTCGTGCCTGGATGGGTCTGCCTCCAAGAAGACATAAAGGTTCAATCGACCAAAAAGCCAAAATGCCTGTCTCTCCCAACCATTAGAAACAAAGTAAGCTCTTAATCAACTCAAAGGAGAAGCTATGGAAACTTTAAAGTAACGGCCGTTTTCGTGGAAATGATAGTCACGAAATTTTTTCTTTGTACAGGGCAATAGGGTTGTGATACCCCACGTTATCAATCAGCTATTCTTTTGAAAATCTTTCAGTTGTGCAATGGAACATCTAAAGGACAGACGTCTAAAAAGACTACTTATTTGTACGGGAAATAGTTACCAGCGAGCCTCGACTTCGGACATCTAAACACGCATGTGTCAAACGAAGGCAATTTATATGAATTAGATATTCTAAAATCAGATGTACGCGAGTAGGTTGGGACCAAACTCCTTCAATACATTCCGGTTGCGTGTTTTTTTAATCTTCTTTCCATCTGCATGGTTAAATTCCATTTCGGAATGTGATGTAATCTTCGTGCCTAAATTCCATGGGTTTCACAACAAAGCTAACATAGCCACCGCATATGTTCCACGTTGTTCTAGGGAAAAAGAGGATGATATTATGACTCTCGCAGGTGCCTTGAGCACTGTGGTATAACTCATAGCAATACGCAAACTCAAGGCACGTGTAATAGTGGTCCCCCAACAGACACCTGATTTTAGAACATCCACTGCATTTAAGCTTTAAGAAAAACGTTTCGTAATTATTGTCCGCGGAAGCTCAGCATTTTGAGGTTTAAGAGTCAATGAACTTCTGCTTTGAACGTTTCATATACGTTCAACATGCATTTACGCGGAAAGGACTTTGTCAATTCCTACGAGCTAGTTATCAATCTTTAACTGTTGTTATGTAACTCCCAATCGTTAACTCAAATATTGGTTAGATTTTCTTTAACTTATATAACAGACTTCTCTTTTTATACTATCGGCTGCTCCCACGAGGAAGATTCAGGGCAAGAATAATATTATATTAGCTTATTTAACTGAATTTAACTTAGTCAAAATGAATGGCAAATAAGTTGTATTTATATAACAACATACTTTGCTAATAAATATAAACAATAAAATGGCTCAGGTTCTCGGTTAATGAGGTTAATGAGAGAAATTCACCCAGTCTTTCAGGTTTTTCTCTTACTCACTCATCTTACGAAAGGCTTGGGACGGGTCTTTTCATATAAATACTTTCAGAAAGTGTTAGATGACATATGCAAGAACTCTCACGCCGCATCATTCCTCTCAAAATATCGTTGTTTTAAATAATCCCATTCGACAAGTTATTAATTCATTCATTATATGAGAAACTGTTGCTTTTGTTCTGTTACATTTAATTCTTTTTTTGTTAGAAAACTAATTGGTCACGTCATAGTCAACTAGTCAACGCACCATACAAATTTATTATATTAGTATTATGCTTCACGGCCCCCGTATCAAGCGTGGGTGCGAGTTTCAAAGCGCGTTTGCGACGAAAGATACCGGCGAAAACACTCGCGGGAAGTAGCCTTTTCTCTCCTTCCCCTGGATGTCATCTTAATCTTGCTTACGTACAGCGCTACGGCAGGGTTTTGTAATCTGTTTGGAAAAACCAGACAAAGGTTTGTGACTGAATAGTAAGATTAGCTTCCTCCTTGCTAAGGAGATGGCGTGACCAAATTATTTACAGAGAATACGACTGTCGTCCA